GCGCGAGGGCATCATTTTCATCCAGGCATGATATTTTCATCCAGGCATGATTGCATGATAGTCTCTGTTGTGATGCTAGTCTGAACGCCCTTCACCTTGTAGATGTCATTTTTGTCTAGGCATGATTGCATGATAGTCTCTGTTGCGATGCTGGGCTGAACATTCTTCACCGTGTGGATGTCATTTTCTTGCACGCATGATACTCTCAGTTGACATACGATTGGACATGACATTAGATGAAATACTAGCTTAATGCTCCATATGAAGATCGAACTGGTGTTCTCTTGGCTGTAGTTTTCTTAGAGTTCGCTTGTTTCTGTTATGCTTGAGCACTTGGTTGTGTTCTTGCTGCTGGCTGTGCTTGAGTAGTTGCTTCTATCTAGTGTGCTTGAGCACTTGGTTATGTTCTTGCTGCTGGTTCTGTTGTTGTTGCTGCTGGCTTAGTCCTCTTTGATGGCCTGTTTGATTGCTCCTGGCAAATGAAAGAGAAGTATCAATAAGAGTCCCTACAATTAAGAAAGATCAGTATTAAATCCCAGAGAAAACATATCACTTCTATGCTTCGTTTTTGCTCCCTTTCCTATTTCTTTTTGCTGCTCTAATGTAGGTGCCATTGGATTGCTTGCCTCTTTCTGGATTCTGAAGACATTTTCTTTTGTTATGATCATAACTTCGAGATACACAACATCTTATTCTATAACCCTTCTTTGTCAGCTTTCCATTCTTTATTTTTTCACCTTCCTCTTTTCTCCTTTGTCTTCTTTCTTCCTGGCATTATCCTATTAGGTGGTGGATGTTGCTTTGGATTTTCTGACACTGGCCAACTCTCTTTTCCCACAACTGGTTGCAGCACATGATCATATATCTTGGTTGTATTCAGTGATAGAGTAGCATGTTGCACTGAAACCATATATCTTGTTGTAGCTCTGCCACAAGTGTAGATTGCACTTACGTCATAGATACTCAAGGACAACCAGGCCAACTGCACTTTGCACTCATCCTCTTCCTCTCATCCTTTGGAAAAAGTAGGTGATGGGAATTGGCTAATCCATACTTCAGCAGTGCTTGTTTGAATTCCCGGCTATCGGTAAATGCCATTCCAACTGCAAACTCTGGCTTCTCATTATTGTCATCAAACACTCTATGCGTTGTCTTCTTCCTCCTTACTGCATTAACCTCTCCATCACTGCCTTCATCGTATGATAGATCATCATCACTAACAAAATAGGGTGTGCCCTCTCCATCTGAATCTTCAAGATTGCAGGTTTCTGGCACAGTAAATTCATCAGGGGCATTACAAGATTTATGTTCTTCTTGTCTCAAGTCAACATCTTCCTTTTCACTTTCTCTCAGTTCTTTTGCATATTTCCTCAACTCGAGAACTTCATCGTCAGAAGCAGAGCTATTACTCTCTGATGGGGGAACAACATAATCACTGTCACCCGAAGATGCATCATCACTATCTATTTCCTCTTCCTCTTCAACTAAGATAGCCTTTTCCTTTGCTAACTGGTAACTTATCTCTCTCTTCTCAAGCTGATCGAATAAGTTTGAGGATTGCCAAGCCTCCGGTTCTGGAACTTGCTGCTCCTCCTCCGCTCCATGTTGTTCAGTTGATCGATCACGTGATTTATCTTTACCATTTGTTGGACCTAAGTTTTCACATAGATAGATAACAAGTTCGAGTATTAGTAACCTCTTCTGTCCAAATCATATGCTTATTACTCTATAATGTCTGATTTCCAATGGCAATGACATGCTTGGGATCAAGTTGGCTGAACAATTGAAAGAGTATTACATATTAAGACAAAAATTAGTGCTTCCCTGCCCTCAACCTGAGGGCTGATTTTCAGTTGAATCAAGTCATTAAGTATTAACTACTAGAAATACTGTTGCCATGGACGCCAGTTGTGAAGGTTCTAACAGTATGCTAAACAGTACACACAGATTTATACTGCAAATCTTCCCTCAAGATCTTATCTGCAGCATTGCTTATGTTGTCTGGATCTACCACTCTTGAGAGGCCTTGACTGATTTGCTAGGAATCCTCGTGCCCTACGAAACATAGTGATTTAACTAAGATTCCTTGGTTGGGCATTATGTCGAACTGTGGTTGCAGTTTGAGCATTGACGTTGGGAGGGTTGCTCCTCATTTGTGGATAGAAGTAACCGTGACGGTACAGGTCAGAACATATTTATGCAGTTTAAACAAAGAGTGAATTCCACTTTTTACTCTGTAGTTCTGCATTTGTGACACATATTACCCTATTTAGTGCAACTTCTACCAAATATTTCATTTAGAAGATTTTGAACACAGTTTTACCCCTGTTTAGCACTTTGCTTGTTTCTGTTAGATAGTACCGGCATGTTACGCCGACGTGGCACGGTAAAATGCGTAAAGATCTGAGGGCATAATCGATATTCATGTTCAGATTTCTCTTACCCATATGTTCAAATCCTCCTCCTCGTCTTGATATTTTTAAACTCTGGTCAACACCTTACACCTTGCCCAATAGACACGCATAAAAAAACAAGGTTTCAAAGCTTTTAAAAGGAGTAATCTTGATGATTTTTCATTCGACAGGGTAATTAGTGTCAAAAATGCATAACTAAGGAGTAAAAAGTGGAATTCACTCTTCATCTTAGGCCACCGCCGGCGCACGGCCTCGAGTTGAGAGTCGATGCCAGCCACCAGGCTCCCGCTGCCGACCTGGTGCGACTCAGCGGCGACGACGAAGAGGTGTAGTCCAGCGCAGAGGGCCTCGAACCCGGCGAGGTCAGGCAGGAGGAAGCCCCTGTAGCTGTCCAGAATCCTCGTGACGGATTCCAGCAGAATCCCGCGTGCTTCGGACAGGCTTGACGAGGGCGCGGCGAAGCCTTGGGAGCACGCGCTTGGCGTCGGTCAGCGCTCCGCCCAGCGCCGCCGCCTCCCTGACGTGGCGGAGGTTGAGCACCCGCCAGTCGTGGTGCTCGACGAGGTGGAGCAGGACCTCCAGCGCCGTCGGAGCGTGTCGGAGGCGGTCGACGCGGAGGAGCACGGCGTCCCGCCCGGGCGCGTCCACGTCCTGGGCGATCTCCGCGAGGTCGGAGAGGAGGGTCAGCATCTTCGCCCGCGAGCTCTCGACTCCCTCTAGTCCGCTCCTTCCTAGGTGATGCCTGCTTCGACTTAGCCAGGGTGTCCGGACGAGATGAGTTTAGGTGTCTGACAGCATCCACTACTCCATCAGACCGTGGTGTTGTCGATGTTCAGGAGATGCTTGTTCAGGTGCAAGGTTTGTGCTTGATAGAGGGAAGATCTTATTCGCCTCTCCAATGATGTTGGCCGAGCAAACAAGATCTGCGGTCTGAGGAACAGGGGGGAAACCCCGCCCGACGCGCCACATCGACATTAGCTTTACCATTCATCGCACGCCACTTCTTCGGCTCATAAAGCTACTTCAGCGATGGTGTTTCCTTGGTCCTAGATTCAATTGCTCCTCACTTTGTTTTCTTCCGGAGGTCGCCCTAGCGATGACGATGAACGGTGGTGGGCAACGGTATGGCTATGCACAGAGGCCCCAACAAGTTCAGGTTACCTCTGATTTTCTTTGGGTATGTGTCCTTCCTGGATATTTCTTTTCAGTCCAATGTGAGTTGTATTTGCTCTATTATGTTTAATGGAAATGCGGCAAATTAAAAAAAGGGCAGACTAATCAATATGTTCACTTCGACAGATAAGAGGGTTAGTGGATATAATTCTACAAAAGAAGGGAATATTGTTTCAGGAATTGTTTTGGATAGCCGTAGGTTTTGCGAATAATGCCTTTGGAGCACAGACACATTGAGCCCGACTTTTGAAGTTATAAAATGGATTTTACGGTATGAAAGTTTCCAAAAAATTAAGTTTGTTTTTTGTTAATTTTGGGGCCGGATTTTCTATTGTGTAGCGTACAATACAACGTATTATTGAACAAAAATTAAGGTGTACTTAGGCCAAAAAGAAAACGAAACTTTTAAGCACCATTTTTGAGTGGTTAAGAAAAATGTACCCCAATCACTTGTTGAAAAAATCTTCAGATTCAACGATTTATCGTCCGAATTATCGCTACTCATGAGGTGGCTGATAAGATTATGTCTTATCTTCACCGTTTATCGTTTGGATCGATTTATCACCTTGACAAGCAATTTATCAGGAATATACTGATAAAATCGGGCCTCTTCCTAACATTATGTTTGAAAAAACTATGTTTGTTTGTGTCTTGTGGACCTTTTTATGCAATATGTACTATCGTGCTATTTTGTTTGTCACTAGAAAAAGGCTTATCCCCAATATCTCTACTAGTGGCGCACCATGTTGGTGGTGCGCCACTGCTATATAGCAGTGGCGCATCAGAATCAGGTGCGCCATTGCTATGTTTTTACTAATGGCGCACCACATGAGCAGTGCGCCATTGCTATTTGTTTTGATGCGCCATTGCTATTTGTTTTGGTGCGCCATTGCTATGTCTGGTGGTGGTGTGTCTGCGTGTGTATGAGGTTAGTAATGACGCACCAGTCTCACACACACAAACACCCCCTGGATCGCCTTTTAGGTTTTTAAAAAATAAAAGAAAATAATAAAAGATTCAAAAAAAGTTCAAAAAAATAGATGCCCATGTGTTATGTGTTCTAGTTGTTAGGAAAATTAACAAACATGGATTTTGAATTTATTGTTTGCAAAAGGCCGCCGTGTTTCGGTAAAATGGCCGTAACTTTTGCATACGACCTCCGATGAAAAAGTTTTTTATATGAAAAATCATCTACTCGAAAAGTTACATCCGAATTCAACCGGTGGAACCCTGTTGAAGATTTTTAGAATCCCCAAAAACCTAACAAAATAAAAGATATGAGGCTTTTAAGATCTGAAGGAATTTTTTTTCAAAAAAACAAAAAATAAATAAATTAGCAATGGCGCACTAGTGCATGGTGCGCCACTGCTATTTTCCTGCCTTCACAATTCAAAAAAAAATTGAAAAATAATAATGGAGCAGCAGGCAATCCTCGATGCCCTCCAATCGGAGGCAAAGGCGGAGGCCAACCGCCGTATCCTCCAGGTGGATCAGGAAGCAGAAGTCAACGAGATGCTTGCCGATATGGTCGAGTGCTCCTACGCTCCTATCTACCCGGTGCCCACCATAGAGATCCGACGATGCCGAAGCGCAGTTGAGGCTAGTGTAATTTGCGCAGTACGCAGAATATTTTTTTCTTGTGCATGCTTTGTATGGATTTTGGGGCCGGGTGAAATATGAGATACTCGGATGCATAGTAAAAAAATATGAGGTGTGACCGGTAACTGCGCACAGACTGCCAGTGTAGCTCTTATATCAGCGTTTTGTTTGGAAGGGACATATGTGGGCCCTTTTGTTATGGCAAGACGAGCGACACACATGTCGGATGCTCTGCTCCCACTCCACCAGAGTGTGAATGACAAAAGCAAATTCACATGGCAGTTGAGCTGTTCGCAAATGCTATACACGATCACACGGACGGACCACGTAGATACTTTGCTTGCTTCCACCCCCATCCAGAGATCCTACCCACAGGCTCCTGATAAACACCCACCTCCTCTAGAGTCGGCATATGGCAGCAAACTCCTGATAAACACCACCTCCACCGAGAAGAAAAGCCTCCGGCCGGCGGCAACAATGTGCGGCCGCGACGACGACTGCTACCTGACGAGGGATGAAGTCAAGTACCTCTTCATCTGCTTCGGCGTCGTCGCGGTCGTGGTCCTCCTCGCCGTCCTCCTGGCCGCCTTCGTCTACCTCCGCCACGTCACCATCACCGTGGAGGACGCCTCGCTCACCAGGTTCGACCTGCTCACCTCCCCGGTGACGGGGATCGCCTACAACCTCTCGCTCACCCTCAAGGTCCGCAACCCCAACTGGGCGATGAGCATGAAGAACGTGGAGCCGTTCGTCGCCGCCTACAGGTTCGACGGCCAGCAGTTCGACCGCGTGCAGGTCGCCGCCACGGGCGACAAGCACCCCGCCGGCGCCACCAGGGTGTACCACCTCACCTCCTCCTCCCAAGGCGCCTTCGTGTCGCTGGGCAGCGCCGGCGAGCAGGAGTACAAGAAGGAGAGCAAGACGGGGACGTTCGACGTGGAGGTGGCGCTGTCCCGCAAGGTGAGCTACACGGCGCGCTACACCAAGTGCAAGATCGAGGCCGTCTGCCCGCTCAAGCTGCAGCTCGTCAAGCCCGACGCCACCACCGTCGTCTTCCAGAAGGTGACGTGCAAGCTACACAAGGCCGAGAAGAACTGCTAGCTAGCTAGCGTATATATGCATGGATATTGATCATGTTCGTGGTTTGTGTGGCCACGATCATCATTAATTACTTTTATTATTCCATCATCATTTGCACGTTTGTTTGGACTTCAAGTGTGTGTGTGTGTGTGTGTGTGTGTGTGTGTGTGTGTGTGTGTGTGTGTGGTGTTTTTCTTCCCATTCTTTCACGCCCATCACGTCGGTTTCGATTTGAAGTGTGTGTGCTGGGTTTTTTTCGTTAATTATTTGTTGTGTAAGATGTAATAATAATATTTTCGATGCTATCTTCCTGATGTAAAAAGAACAGGTTTGATGTTGTTTCTTGGTTGTAAGGGAAAAAGATTTGATGCTAGCTTTTTGTTGGTTCAACATTCAAGGGGGGAAAAGGTTTGATGCTATCTTCTCATAAGCATCCACACTGCTTGTGAGGGAGGCTAGACGGGTGTACACGCAACGTGTATGCCGCGGCCCGTGGGTCGCATCTAAGCAATTAATGTTCAGCATTCAGTTGTATCTTTGCATGGCATACAAACAAAGAGCAAGTTTTTTTTTTAAAGGAGGATGACCCCCCACCTCTGTATCTGAAAGATGCATGCGGCCATTTTAATAATTATTTTCGAGGACCTTATAAAATAAAACAATAATATGCCTGAATCCGTCATCTTGTCAACATCTGCCGCTACTTCTATCCAAATGATGAAGGGGTGCAAGTTGGGTCACATACCCAGACCTCTCACCTAAGCCTGACACCTAAAGCCGGAGGCCCCGACCGAGCCATCTGCCAGGTCCGGGGCTCAAACCGGTCCGACGCACTCACATGTGTCGTCGCTGCCGTCTTCCGCTGGTCCATCTTCAGAGCAGATTGAGGTGACAACCTTGACAGGTCCTCCGCCATCGACACCACCATGACGCCAAATGACGACCTCCGCCCATGCGAGCCTTGCCAGGTCCCCGCCATTGACGCCACCACGACGTCAGCCGACAATCTCCACCTACACAAGTCCATCTCCAAGCAACGGACGTAAATCCATGCTAGGATAGGGCCACACCACCGTCGTCGCCCACCACCCACAAGCGCCACCCAACCCCAAGATTCCCAAAGCGGCACCTTCAAGAAGGGAACGACGCCGTGAGCGCCGCCGCTGCCCAACAAAGTTAGGGCTTTCGCCCGGAAGACCTGGGGGAGGTGAAGTGAGGAGATCAGTCCATACCGACGCCTCCAAGGAGGGGAACGACGCCCTCAGGCGTCGCCGTCGGCGCGGCCGGTCTCATGTTGCCGACAATGAACACACACACAAAATAGACAAAGGTACAGGGATGTGGCTCTTCTCTTTATTATTTCGATCTCACAATGAGCATAATCCTACCCCATCATATAGAGCCAGCGGACATGTCCGAGTAGAAGTCCACAAACCTTTGCTTGAGAAAGGTGAAAGCTAACCACCCTCTTGACCCCCCGTGTCCATCCCGGAGGCGCCACGGATCCCTAGCTCCGCCCGCCATTGGCCCTTCCCTCCGCATAGAGAGGGAGCCTGACTAGGCCGGCCCATCAAGTTCTACCACAGGACGAAAAAGATAGCAGAAAAAAGAAACGCGCCGACCCCGTATTTGAACCATAGACCAACTATGTACTAATACGTGCTCCTAGCCACTCCAGCTAACCAATATTGTTGTTAACAGAGCAGTGCATAGCTTAAAGAACTAACCATAGATGTAGTAGCGAACCGAAAGTAGCTATTGTAGTGAATCTGAATTACTTACTGGGGTGAATGTTATTTTAATGTATATTTTGAAAAAGTACCAACATTTCTTGAGTTCCTGGAGAAAAAACCGGAGACAGGAACACTTTTTGAATATGTGAACAAAAAAAACTAAAAACATTTATTGTTTTTGGAACACATTTTGAATATGTGAACAAATTACTAAATTCTGAACAAATGTTGAAACCGTGAACATTTTTTGAATTTAAAAAAAATATTTGATAAGTGAAACATTTCATGATATGCGGAACAAAATTTTGAAACCGCAGACATTTTTAAAAATTGTGAAAAAAACTTTAAAATGGAACATTTCATGAAATTCCGAACAATTTTCAATAACGAACATTTTCTAAAATTCTTGAACATTTTTTGAATCTCTGACTAAAATTTGTAACCACGAACAAAAGAACATTACTTGAAATTCCGAACAAAAATTTGAAATCACGAACATTTTATGAAATGTGAACGTTTTTTATTTTCAGACAAAAATTTGAAACCAAAACATACAAGCACATTTTTTCAAAAATGAAAAAAAATTCAACTTGTGAACAAAAAAATAAACATATTTTGAAATTCCTGAACATTTTTTCAACTTGTAAAAAAGTTTAAAGACAGGAAGATTGCTTGAAATTATTATATATTTTTATACTAGAACATTTTTTAATTTATGAATAACAATTAAAAGATAAATATTTCTTGAAAATATGAACAAAATTTGAAAATTTCGAAAAACATATTGAAAGGAAAATCAACTTGAAAAAGGAAAAGGAAAAAAGAAAAGAAAAAGTAAAAAACGAAAAATTAATAAAAAAAATAAAAACCAAAACAAAAAAGGGAAACCAAAAAAAAATCGTTCAGCAATAAACCAGGATCCGTGTATATGCTAAACAGGTAACATGGGCCGGCCCACTGCGATCGCTCCATCTATTGCTAGTTGCAAACATCGACATCTTGACACAATGTGCGTCATTTAGGGAATTCCGTCGCTAACATCACGTAGACCGGAGCCCTATGCCCTGGGTCTCACATGGCTGTGCCACCAATGTAAGCATTATTGGTCTGGGAGCAGAAAGAGCTTATGCCCTGCCCCCTTCGAAAGCAAAGTCAAAGAATCAGTTGCGTAGCAGCAGCTTTGTATTGCTCAAATGTATTCACGGTTATTTCAAATGTCCAGTAACTGGTTGATTGTTTCTACATTTACTTGTGTGTACAACATGTTGGGGGTGAAAATTCTATCGCGGAGGATTTAGCTCGATTCCCAAATGGTGACACCATCATAGGTGCAGAGCTTTGTGTACTTCTCCTCGACACCCGAACTTCTGGCGACTACTGTCGTGGCAATGCCTGGGTCTGACCTGTCCTCGGTTGCGTACAGTGCAATTGAGTGACCGATCAAGTCGATAACTTACAGTTTCTCTTTTGATCCTAAAAACTTGGCTTCCCCGTTCTCTCCAGCTTCTAGCGTTCCCATGTGAGTAATTTTTTTTACCGGAACCGGTACCTATCGGTGAGACATCCGCCGTTGATGTTGTTTTGGAGATTCGAGCCCTTTTTTGATGCGTGAGTGACAGAATTGAAATACACGGAATACATGTGGGTCCTTTTCATGCTATTGTCAGCTTTTGTTAGGAAAGAGAAAAAATGTTCATAGAAGGCCGGTTGCATGCATTTTAAAATATTCCCTCTCTCTCCACTAAAAAACTTCCATTTAATTTCATTGTGAATTTTTGGATGATAGATATCTTTTGAACGAA